ATTCCCTGTCCGTTCCAACCAGATTTTAAAACGCTCGTTGTATTTGTAGGGGTTGGGAAAACGATGGCGTTTAATAATAATTTTAGTGTTTAGAGATTTCAAAACACTGCACAGTTTCATATTGTACTCTTTGTTATCACGTATAATCACACAAATGAGACTTTTATACTAATCATAAATGACATTAGTTTTTTTATTGTTTCTTAAAATTTGCTGCGGAAGTTGTCGCCAAGCAATTTTTGGAAAAAAATACTTCACTGCTATCAGTGCTATCTCTTATTATGTGGCCGGTACGTAAGCCTAGACACAAACCTGGGACACGCATTACAGCCGACTTTGCATTCTATTTTACGTAGTATTATTTATCTATGATGGTACCTCTTGGAGAGGCCATAATCTTTATACTAGTCGGCCATGCCCCAACAAAACACATAATAAACAAACACAAAAATATTCAATCATCGTTGCGGGGGAATATCTCGATAGTGTTATTAATCTCTAGCGTTGCGAGTGAATGCCTCAGTGATGTAATCACGATAACGACGATAATAACGATGATAACCGCCTAAGGGAAGAAATTATTTTAACCCCCCCGCTAGTTCGCAGTATAATGAATTTTGTTTAACTGCCGCAAATGAACTATTAGCAATCTTGTGTGAAGAATTAAGAAGTGTTATAATGTAACACTTACGTATATCCGTTCAGAAACTTATTCGTAATTAAACAACAAAGGTGTTATCCTGACTAAGTGAATTTCATGAAATCTTACAGCAAGTGGTTTATTTAAATAATCCTGATTGTTAAATTGTGTTTGCACTAGCTGACGATTAAGAAAAACTAACTTGATTGGTGAATTTACAAACAATAACACAAATTTACCGCACGTGTTTCGCGTTGAACGGAAGTCCGCACTTTTTCCGATTAAAAGGCCGCCAGAATTAGCTACACGTGTTGGGGGAAAACTGTGTCGTGATAGGAATTACGATTGATTGTCATTAAACAAAGGCTTCCTCCCATTTATTAACTACCAAACCAAGTAATTTAAACTAGCTCTTACCACGTGTTTACATTCACAAAAACACATTCAGACTGACGCTCCGCTGAACTACACCAAGCGCTACGTGCGTCTGGTTGCCTATGTTTAACGATTTTTTATTGAATTTTTTCTTTTCGCGCTGCTGTTAATTCATTTCAGCGCGAAAATTTTGATTTAAATTCGGTCACCACAATAGGTATACAGTTTGATGGAACTGTTCATCCAGTGTGTTTGTTTTAAAGATGATATAGTTTTTTTTTACATTATCAATTAGTTGATTTCTGTTCCACCAGATGATTATTTTTTTGAAGCGTTATGTTGGCAGCATCTATTTATTACCTCTTCTAGGCTTCGAAAAATAATGCATAGCGTAGGTCTTAAAATTGAACCTTGGAACAAACCACCTGTTAATTATTTAGTAAATTATTTGATTTTACTGTCTGGGATCTTTTTATTAAGTAAGAGTTGAACCATTCTAATGCTACACCTAGCAACCGTATCTGCTCAATTTGTCTAACAACAGGGTGCAGTCAAAGACTTTGACAAAGTCAATGAACATGGTGAATAATTTTTTATCTAGTGAGAGGTATATGAACTTTGTTAAGTAACTTATTATTTTCCATAAAATGTAGAAATCTCTTATTGACCATTAATTCAAAGATTTTAGAAATACTTTGAAGCAAGCTTATTAAGCTACGGCTTTTATATGAAATCCGCAAACCTATTTGGTAGTCCATGATTTCTGTCGGGCCTTCTGTCGAAATTAAAATGCAGTGCGTTTGAAAAAAATGCACCACCCTGAAATAGAAAAAATATGGCCTGACAGTCTAACTATTTTGAACGGTATACTAACAAGATACCCTCGAATCCTACTACGCACCATATCACCGCCAGCAGTTCTAACCTAACAATATATCAAATGTAGCCTACCATATTCATCTCTCTGCAAAAGCATGCCAGCGACATCCATTGATTTAGCATCACTATATATCTAAGTATCCTGGCCTAACCTGACCTGATCTGGATCGCCGAATTCGAAAGGAGTTTCCTTCCGTAATAAGTATGAGAGCGTAATTCTGGATAAACATACGGGAAAAACGGTTAATCCCAAAAATCGTCGCACATTAGCGAGCCGCGAGAACATTTAATAACGGCTCAGTCCCTTGGGGATCACAGTATGTCCGAGATAACTCAGTTCATTAACTCCGAACGCACATTTTCTTATATTTAGAGTTAGGCTTGCTCTTCTGAACCCCCCGAAAACAATCCTTAACCTCTCCACAATGAATTTGTTCGGCCGACATTTCTTGCTACAAAAGGTTCATTCCCCTTACGGTCCTCAGTATCAAGAATTTGTTTATTATGGCAAGGCTGTCGTCGCTTAGGTTATATATTCTAACAATGACAACCCGCATCATCGATCTGCCGAGCATCTAGATCATCTCACGTAATCAGATGCGGTTTACACTAGAACCTGCACTTCAGTCGCGAAATTGTGTGTATTGGCGTACTCGAAAACAATGCTATGCCCTTCCTTCACATATGCTACACTACCGTGGTCACAGAAGGGGCAGCCTATGATTAGCTCCAAGTCTTGTATTTCGGAACGCTTCCTTGAAAGCTGACCATGATGTCAAAAGGCCTCATCTTCCTTCATACCACTATCGAGCTGATCCCTCGAGATGCGTTCTAGCCGAACTCCTCCCGGCCATTAAATCTCTACTAAGTAAATCCCACGTGGGGACCTTCACGCTGCTCTTATCCACCCGATTTTCTTGGTTGTCTGGAGGCAACCATTACACTGGGATGTAATGGTTGCCTCTGACCGAAAAATCTAAACCGGGTGCCCATATGGTCATGTTTCTCATATTTACTTCTAAACTACCTCCTATGCCTGCGCCTGGGTCCTTCTGTTTTTTCACCTTTAATTCGCTCTATCGAACGGTCCCTACTCGCCGCGGTACCGTCATCGTCGAGATGTCTAGCCGGGCTTCGCTATTGTTGCTGTTTGTTTCTTTGGCTCACGAATTCCTCAAGTGCCTCGTTTGGGAGGACCGCAGTTTTCTTACTCTTGTTTATTTCAGCGTTCCTAAGCTTCTGATGTGTTAAATCCCTTCGCACTAAACTCATTACTCCCAATAATTAAAAGTGGTCTCAGAACTGAACATGATTTATTAGTGACTAACTACAAGAATTTTGGCACAATGAAAAGTATAAGAGAAGGATAAAACATAATGACCAACCGGGAGCGGCACAGTTTCCTCCCCCTAAACCCGTAAGTGGACTCTTCTGGACGCTGTTATGTGTGTTGTCACACCTTAAGTTCTTCTCTAAGTATGTAGTTCCACTTTATTTAGAATGATGTCATTTTGATGAAAACGCAAATTTAGCGTTTTTCTCTGTCTATCCGATTTTTTTTTGCAATATTACGAAACCACTAAGCTATATGAATATGAACGAAGTGTTCGCGTAGATTATAGAGTTTTAATATTAATATAGGTCTATAGGGGTGCGGTACGGTACAGGTCGAGTCCCGGCATAGGGTTAAGCAAGGCTTTCCGCCGACTTCAATGGGTGACCGATAAGGATCGAATCGCCCGTCCGTCTAAACCGCTCGGTGTGTCAGTTCTCCATATGCTTGACGACAAAACTAGGTTACGGATAAAGCATGTTGGTCAATTCATGACAAAGGTTAAGCATAATCGTGTTTGTAGTGCAGCTGTATTTTAAACTGAGTGCTGCTGTAATATTATATATTGCATAATATTTATGATTAAACACAACAACAAACACTGTTTCAAAATATTGATATGTGGTTGATACAAATATTAATTAAGAGTACACAGTTTTAAGCTGCTTTTATTTTACTGTAGGGCTATCATAAACAATTCACCATATGATAAAAAATAAAAGTCGTCTAGCAGATCATGAAATTTATTTTTTAAAATGAGGTTGGCATTGCAGATTTTTATTTTTTAACATTAAATTTGAATAGTTGCTAGACGATTTTACATACAATAGGAGTGGTAACAGACCCAATCTGTCGTGGATGCAATGAAGAAGAGGAAACAGCTGAGCACATTCTTCGTGAGTGTCCAGCGCTAGCCTCTTACAGGAAATGGCACAAAACAGGGAGTTCCCACCCTCTGCATTACTCAAGTACATTCAAGCATTTGGGTGGCTTGACGAGTAGAGGAGCAAGAAAACACCCTGATATGGACTTGGGGAAGGTACAATGGGCCCAAAGGCGAGGCCCAAGTGCCGGCTGGCTACGGTCAACCCCCATAAAATTAGAATGTAGAATCCAGAATAGGCCTTGTTTTTTTAATGTATAATGCACTACAAACTATGAAACTCCAACTTCAGCTGCAAGTCGACGAGTCCTGATGCCTTCGACGCGTTCCAAAATTTGTTCTTCAGCTTGCAGTATTCTTTCAGTCCTATCACAACCACGATCGGGAGTTTGAGGCTTGAAGGTACCATGATCTCGGAGATGCTGTATCATTGACGTAAATATTCGCGCACCTGCCGTTTCCATGCCGACACGCTCTGAATTGGAAAAATTCACCATTGTCAAAGACGTTAACCGAACACACGACGGCAAGCAACTGTTACATGATTGGTCATTCATTGAATAGTAGTTATGGTACCAATGGCGTGTAGAACAATTTAAATGTGAAATTTACACAGTACAATCAATCTTATTGTGAGCTATTCCCCACTTTTATTATTGCACATTTCGAAATCACTCTGTATATATAATACTCCTATATAAATATGTGTATATTTAAACATAAACAACTGAACGAATTACAGAAATCCAAACGACACATGTGACAGTTGACAATGAATCTGAGCATATTTGGTGGTTCCGATCAACTAGTGACTCTAGTTTTTTTTTTTTTTTTTGTAACTCCGTGAACAGTATTTTCCCATGCTTATCGTTCTTTCTTTATCTTTCCAGAGTCGGCCGCAACAGCAACAAATTCTCCCTCCGCACCTCCCCCACGAACGGTTCAGCATCGGTCTCATCCCCGTACCTCCACTGCACCGGATCCATGGGCCAAACGCGCCACTTGTTCGTCCGGCGAGGCGAGCGCAGGATGCACTACGACGGCACCACCTTCATCGTACGAAACGCCGGCCACTCGGCCGGCTTCGACGAAAGACACCAACTTAAAGTTTATTAAAACCAACAAAACGTTCGATTTTCGTGAGATCCGCGCGTTTTTGACGTTTCGTTCTACGACGGCATCTCATCAAATTCTTAGTTTTAATCGTCTCTTATACAAAAAGTGAACGACACCCAAAAAAAGTGCAATTTTTCTTGATAGTGTTGATGTCTCTTGCTTTCACCAATTTTTTTAAAGTGCATTTAAGCCAGTGATGTGTGGTATGATCTTGGCAATAAATGATTTTATGATCCTGCCGAGTTGGGCACTGCCATAACGTTTTGTTTTTTGCGGAAAAGCGAGGGTCGCAGAGGATCGTTGCTGTATTCTGAAAAAATGAATGCGTGAATGTAATTGTTACACGCGCTTGTCTTATCAAGGTAAGTGTCTATAATTAAGTCCATTTATGGACTTCAGGTGCTCCGCTTTTCAAGGCTGTGATAGCCGGACCGGTTAACAGTGTAGTGTCGGAGAAAGTTGTTGACGGTTGAAATTAGTGTGTGTGTTGTGAGTAGTGTCATTGTCATAATCATAATAGAGTAAGCATCCCAGACAAACAGCGATTGCTTCCCTTGACCCCGATACGATAAACTTACTTGCGGCATAATGACGCGAACAAGTCTGATTTTTTTCTTCGGGATTTTATTTAAAAGTGGGGGGGTTAATTACGACTGGATTCTTTCTAGATGGAAAAACGAACAGTAGTTGGTGTCATGGGGGTTATTACCGCCATTTTCCTCGCGATTATTGGGCTTGTGGTCTATCCGGGCGTAAATGGTGAACCCAAAGAGCTTCAATTGTTACATGTGGTATTGTGACAATAAAGAAATAGTTATGTATGCATTGTGAGTTAATGGTTTTTAGATTTTGCGACACGGGGCAAGGACGCCGGCTGATACATATCCTAACGATCCTTACATCAATGAGACTTTGTTCCCAGTGGGGTGGGGGCAACTGACCAACGTAAGTAGCAAATTATTATCCAAAAATTTAACAATAGTACACAACATATGCTGCTGTTTCCTCTCATAACGACGATCACTTGGGTGAAATCTTGATAAAAAATTATTCACAATTGTAAAAAGAGAGAAACAAACATTTTTGCCTAAGCCCACGTCAACATTAACAATTGCATACGTTTATGAGTAGTATAAATGGATTAAAATTTAATTCAGCGTCAGATGTAGGTTGTTCTCCAAGGCCGAGATTTAGGGAAATACCCAAGCAGATAGGTACTTGTTTTTCATATCTTTATGAATTTAAATAATAATTACAAAAAGCAGACATTAAAGTCGACAGGTTTTCTGTTACACGTTTTAAGCTACATAAATAATAGTTGGAGTCACTGACCGCAAATCTCAACCTCTCTCATGAAATTGTCGATTTTTCAAGAGCTGCGAATTCACAATACTCAGAACGTTGTGTATCCAGTAAAATTTTATGACCTTATTATGTGGGGTTGGACCACAACAGCAAGGTTACTGATAACGCAAAATAAATAAAAACACAATAACAATTTAATCATTACGGTTACCTACCATCTTATACTTCTAAAGTATACATGAATCACAATATATTTACAAGGTGTCATTACGGTCAATTAGCAACAATCATTTGAGCTGTGAATGACACAAGTACCAATTCAAAACATTCCCATTGTTACCAATACTCAAAAAAAACGAAAGTGTTCTTTCACCATGAACTCACAGATAAGTTGTGAACGTCAATTAGTCCTAACTACAGCCACAACCCGCACTCATATTCCTGGGGCTTACTTCCATTCCTGCAAAGGACGCGTCGACTAGGTTTGTAAATCCGGTCTTGTCGATAAACATTCACATGAAAATGGCAACGCATGCTATCTTCAATTAAATTTTGTATGATGATAATCAACTGATCAACTCCTCGTTGTGTTGTTTTTTGACTCTTGGTTGGTGTTCTCATCGTTTTCTTGCGTCTTGAGAAGTTTATTTCATCTTCTCTATTCCTTTTCTGCTAACATCTGATGTGTCACTCCCCTTTTTGCTCATTTTTTAAGTCGAAGTTCTGCTAATACCGGGTAACTATTAATAAATTGAAGCAAATTTTTGTTTTGGCAATTCTGAATTATTGATGACATCCATGCTAGTACGTCAGTTCACAGTTGTCAATTTTGGCATGAGCACGCCTAAGAAACGTGTTGATTGAATAATAATCTACTGTATCTGGATCAACGTTGGGCAAATAAATTATTATTATTATCTCGTTAGGTATTGATCTTTCAACTGTGTTTTCGTTTTGGTATGATTGATGTGGGAGGATTGACAGAAACCCAGATATTTGTATGTATCATTTCATTTCATTCTTGGGCTTCGATTATTTCGTTATTCTGGGTGTGGTACTTGGTGTTGGACGCCTTTTCTGATTGCTTGGGTCTTACATTTCTCAATACCAAAAGACATACCAATATCACCGGAAAATTGTTCAGTCAGATTTAATAGTGGGGTGCCCACTGGAAACGAGAACCTAGGTATTTCAGTCAAGTAATGAGTAAAAGAGCTAGAGAGAATTATTAAGTAAGTACAATGTCTTAAAATATAAAGTGTCTGCACTGTAGATAATATAATATAATATACTATACCTAAATATAATATTTCGATACAGTAGCTCCCATCCTGACATACTTTTTAGAAATTAAAGATATTGAAAAATTGTTAAGTGCTTATTAAAATCATACAGAAAATGCAGTCCAAAGAAGAAGAAACAATAGGTAGTTCAAACAACAGGTACTATGCAAATGCTATAGCATTGCTTTCAGGTTGATAAGACTGGCTATGGTGATTATTAATGACTCACAATTTTTTTTAAAGGTGTAAGGACACAGGAAGTCGAGGAGTGATAACACGGGCTGATAATATAATTAAAACGCAGCAAAACAGTTCCCTGAATTGAGTATTCGCGATAAAATTAAGTAGTCTTTTCCTGGACGATTTTTAAATTCTCAGTAGTGAATTTAATTCGTGCTTAATAACAGTACCTACGATTAAATTTTAGGTTAGAATTCGACGATTATACAAGCCCTAACAACTAAATATTGGGACGACAAAAAATTTTTATAAAAAAATCACCAAACTTTTTAACAAAAATGTAATTTATTTTAGATAATTAAAATTTTAAAATTAATTCATTTTTTAAAACTGTTAATGTTTACAGCACAACAAAAACTGATTTCTAATTCAAACAGTGCCATAAAACTCTAAAAAAACGTAACATTTTGTGACACGTAAATATTGGGACAGCAAATTCAGTAACTGGTCACATCTCCTTTTGTCTTAATAACTGCAGGAATTTTTGCCATCATACTGTCAACTAATTTTCTGCAATACACAGGAGTTGTTACCGTATCCTACATTCGCTAAATTTCCTGTAGAGGATTGACGATCGCTTGTCATGGATGATTTCCTAAATATTTTTTTATTTCAGGCCATATCGTCTCTACTAGATTAGGATCTGGGCTATTCGATGGTCAGGGCAAACATTTATATTATTATTCTTTGTAATAAGTGTTGTAGGTGTGTAACTTGAAGCATCATCCTGTTGAAAAATATAAATATCAACAGGATAGACTGCTTCAGTAATTGTTAATATTTTTTTACAAAGTTTCTTAATATTTGTTTGCATTTGTAATTTCCCTTCCATGAAAGTTGTTAACTGGTCTTTAAATTCCGTTAATAGACATGCACCCCCAAACCATTTTCCGCTTGCAAACTTGACTGTTTGTTTGAGATAATCCATATTAAAATTCTTTTTTTATTTCAATAATTCTTTTTCGACTATTATCTCACCCACACATCAAATTTGGACTCAACGTTAGATATTACTTTTCTCCAATTTTTATTTTGGCCATATTAACATATTTTTCTTGTGGGCAGTTTTTAATTGTGGTTTTACTTTAGCGGACTTTAGCCTAAAATACAATGTAAAAACCAAGGCCTGATTTGTGTATCCATTCGCGACAATATTGTCTTGAAAACTTTAGTTGGTTATCGCTATTCCAGCAAGTAGTAATTTCTATTGAAGTACTCCGTCGTCCACTTTTATAAATTTTCATCAGTTGTCGTTGATCACGCGGCTTCACAAGTGGTGGCCTACCGGGAATCTTACCTTTTATTCCTATGGTACCTCTGTCTGCGTAATATTTTACGACGTTTCCCATCGACGACTAAGCTATTTGGAACAAATCGTCACTTTTTCTTGTCGATTTTCCCCTGCAGTACTGCGAAATTATTATTTTCAGAACTTTTACTAAAACTAGCCCACCGCTACCTATTTTTCTAAATAAAACCAACACTAGCATGAAATGCTAGGATTCCTATAAGAATGGCAGCATTTACCAGCTACTACGTTTGTATTTCGATGGTATACGTAGCAAATTTTCTCGGGTGTCCCAACATTTAAATGTCAGCAAAAATGACACATTTTTTATTTAGGTGACAATTTTTGCGCTCTAAGAAAATTTATTAATTTGCAAAATACTTCACTCTCTGCCAAAATAGATGCCCATGCAAAATTTGCATTTAATTCAAACGAATTGAATGATATCAAAAATATACAGGGTGACTGGGGTATATTGTGCCAGATTTTAAAGGGTTACAATATGCATTATTTTGATTCTAAAAGCCTAATAACATTTTGGTCTAAAACGTATGGTTAAGTCAGAACTTTATGTGTCTCCACCGTTTGAGAACCACTGTACTATGTAATATTAAATTTTACTAAGTAGAAAAAATTAAATACTACTGTTAGTAATTTTATTTATTTTTAAACACCTTATTAAAGCAAATGCTCAAAATGAGCTCCATTCATTCTCACACAAGCATTGGCACGACGAATCCATTGCTCCTGCACTCGTTGGAGCATTTCCGGGTCCCCGCGAATGATATTGGTGGCTTCATGGATTCGTTGTCTGAGGTGATCTTCTGTTCTGATCTCTTCTGTATAAACCAACGACTTCATGTGGCCCCAAAAGAAAAAATCTAGCGGATTCAAATCGGGAGATCTGGCAGGCCAATGCTGAGCCCCACCTCGCCCGATCCATTTTTCAGGGAATTGTACATTTAAAAACTGTCGTACCAGACGGCTAAAATGAGGTGGCGCCCCATCATGTAGAAACCACATACTTTCCCGGATATGTAGCGGCACTTCTTCCAACAATTCCTGTAAATTTCTTCTTAAAAATCGCCAATAAATGGCACCCGTTAACCGCGGGGGTAGTTCAAAAGGTCCTATAAGATAATTGTTTACAATACCGGCCCATAGATTAATTGAAAACTCCTGCTGAAAACGGGTTTGTCTTATGGCATGCGGATTTTCATCTGCCCAAACGTGAACGTTGTGATAATTAAAAATTCCCCGACGCGTAAATCCTGCCTCGTCTGAGGCCAAAATAATACGAGGAAAGTCTGGATTTTCTTCTACCTTTCGTAGAAACCAACTACAAAATGCAAAACGGGGTTGATAATCAGCTGGAGATAGAGCTTGTACACGCTGAACATGGTATGGATATAACAACTGTTCTCGTAGTGTTCTCCAAATGGTCCATTGAGACACATTAAATCGTTTGGCAAGGCATCTTGTACTAATTCCAGGATCATCATGTACAACATCCAACACCTCTTCTTCAATCTTGACAATTCGCTGAGGGCGTTGTGGACCTCGTTCGACTCTTCTAGGTAACAAGGATCCCGTTTCTTGGAGTCGCTGGTGCAGATCTTGAAACATTCTTCTTGAGGGTAACCGTCGGTGAGGGAAACGAGTGCCATACAAACGCACTGCCACACGGGCTACTCCGCGTGCCTCTCCATAAATTAAATGAATGTCCGCTAATTCTCTAAGTGAATACCCATTGACATCCATCTTAAATTTATTAAAACATGTTCACAGATACTTTGACAAATTGTCAAACAGAAGTATTATTTTATTATTGAATTTATTGTCATGGTTTCTAATAAAACAACTGTAAAAATTTCAATATATCAGGTGAATTCCAGCGGCTTTCAACCGGTGGGCTATGAAATTTGTGTATTCTATAACTCTTTTGGAATAAGTCTGAGCTGTAAATGTTATTAAGGTTTTTTACTCAAAATAATGCAAACTATCACCCCTTAAAATCTGTCACAATAAACCCCAGTCAGGCTGTATATCGGATTTTTTTGAGAAATTGTCTGTGTCCCAATATTTAGTTGTTAGGGCTCGTATTCTGTGAGGTCCTACTACTAATAAATATTAATTAGAACATTGTAGTAGGTACTTGTACAACAAACCTGATAGCAGTGTTGTTAAAACTACTTTCAAATAAGTAGTTAACTTCAACTACAACTACTTTGTATCAAATGTATTTAACTACATTTCAACTATACGTTCAATAAAAAGAAGTTGACTACATAGTTAGAGTAGTTAAAAAGTAGTTAAATAATTTTTTACTTTCTGTGTAAGGTAACGCCCCTGACTTCTATGCAAGACCTGCGTCTTTTGTGCAGATGGCGCGATAAATCCCGCCAGCTCGACAACGAACCGCGCCCTCCGCTTCCGCTACGTGTTTCTGTGTTATTTAACCTCAATTTTATTTAAATGTTCAATTTCTATGACTTTGATATTGAACTACAACTGAACAAGTGTCAGAGTTTCAAAAAGAGCGATAGACAACACTTAAATTCGCCATATACTCGTGAAATTTTAAACAGCAAAGAATTCTTATCTGAGATTAAGATTGGACATCAGACAATTATATAATAGAAGCATTAATCAACAAAATATTTACAAAACAGAAACTAGCAAAGATTTATAAAAAGCATCTGGTGTGAAGTAAAACTTGTGCAGACAAAAATTACGTGAGGTTTGGAACTGCAGAGAATGAAAATTTACGTTCAATTTAAATTATACAACAAAGAAAAATACTGACGTTAAAATTGTGATATAAAGAAAAATTGCATGAGGTGAAAAATTACAAAGCTAACAAAATTACATGAGTTTAATATTTTATGTCCAAAGAATTTACATGATGTTAAATTATGCCTTGATCCAGTCTGGCAGTGTATTTTAAATTTTTGAATAAAAATGGTGGAATTAAAATTTAATTTAGTAAAATTTATTTCAAAAATTTATAAAATATTTTCCATAGAAAATCAGATATTTGAGAAGGAAATTGAATTTCTTCAAATTTCTGTTGAGACGTAATCAAAATTTAAAATCCAGCATACGTAGGATTCAAAATAATTGACCACAATTCAGACAGATTTCACCAGTTTAATTTGCCTTGTTTTCTTATTAGTCTACATAATATTCTTTGAACAACACGATACTCAAAAACATGTTTTTATATTCTTGTAAAGAAATAAGTACTGTGCAGTTAAGCTCCGCCCCCTTGCTTCACGACGAAAAAAAAATCATCACGATTGAGATAGGGTGGGTGGGCGGGGTTTATATTTTGCCTTGTTTTCTTAGTATACATAATATTCTATTTATTTTAATCTCTAAACTTCTTTTCAGAACATGAAACTTAAAGCATGTTTAAAATGGAAAATTTGTATAAGGAAATATCGATTTTGAAATTAAGCTCCTCCCCATAATTGCAAAATCCATATTTCTTTGTAAAAATGTACCATTTTAACCATGTTTTAAGTTTCTTGTTGTGAAAAGATGGCTATGTACCTATATTAAGTCAAAAAAACGCAAAATATAATATGTTATAATGTAACACTTAAGTATTAGCATCAAGAAACTTATTCATAATTAGACAAACAAAGGGTGTTATCCTGACCCAGTGAACTTCATGAAATTTCCTAGCAAATGATTTATCAAAATAAATTCCTGATTGTTAAATTGTGTTAGCACTAGTTAACGATTAAACTCCTAACATGAACTGTGAATTTACAAACAATAAAACGAATTTACACCTGTTAGTGTCGGTCGAAAATTCACATATTTCCACTCGGAAAAAAACGCAAGAATTAGCTCCGCGTGTTGGGGAAACTGTGGCGTTAACGTGCACATGGTTGCCTATGTTTACCGATTTTTTCATTGATTTTTTTTTTAATTCAAATTATTCAAATGCGATTTCGCGCCGCTGTTAGTTTTTTTAGGTACCTGTCCTTATTACCTGTTACTTTTGCAGCAACAAATTACCTGCTCTTTTTTAAACCCAATAAAATTTAGAAAAGACTGTTCAAGAATGTAATTAAAATGTAGTTAAAAATTTACCAAAATTGTAGTTGAAATACATTTTAACTACTTATAGTTAACTATTTAACAACACTGCCTGATAGGTAGTTGGGACATATTCCCCCAGGGTATCAGCCTTCTATCATTTGATCGCTATACTAAACATCAGTTTCTACCCAGGTTAACATGCTTTGTAGCATATAATTTTGATTTATCTATCAACTATTCATTAACGATAATCGACACTTTGGCATTTTAAACTTGTTTGTGCAGCATCATGGTTACCTCACTTTACTAATTAAGGCTGCAGTTCTCCATTATTTAAATTGAATATTATGCAATTATCAAGTGCGGTATTATTTAGGGCATTGAGAAATGCACGATGGTGTGATTTTTGAAAGGTTCCTTACGATGTATAAGTTATTTAGCAATGAATAATTTTATTCAAAAACATAGGCACGAAATTATGAAAGATTCTTACATTAGTGGTAATAAGAATCAAGCTTGTGTGGATAAACAGTTTCGTGTAAGTAAAGTCAGGGGCACATTACATAATATTATCCTTACCCATCATCTATGGAATTAATGTGGCGTTTCTTAATGCAAGCGTCATAGTCATACACGTTATGTAAGAGATATTTCTATTGAAGTGTCTCTTTCGCAACGTTATAAAACAAATAGGAAATCAATACATTCATGTACCATGAACTTGACAACTATTTCAAAATAATGTTCTTTATTAGCCGGCATTTTTCAACTTTCGGCCTCCTTTTCCTTTCTTTGAAGTGGAAACAGTGTAGAGTGATGATTTTTTTATTCTTTGTGTCATTTTTATTTGTGTGTTTCTCTAGCATGGAAAGCTGGACATGTACAACCTTGGTAAATTCCTCCGCCAGCGCTACGACAAATTCCTGGGCCCTCACTACTCCCCGGACGAGTACTACACCCAATCCACAGACGTAGATCGTACCAAAACCAGCCTCCAAGCAATCAACGCCGGCTTATGGCCGCCCGAAACCGACCAAAAATGGGGCCCGCTAGCCTGGCAACCAATCCCAGTGCATTCCGAACCCCTATCACAAGACCACGTGAGTCTAAAAAAAATCACCCAATACCGTAACCACCCTAAATCCAACAGTTACTACTAGTACGAAAACCATGCGCCCAGTACCACCTCGAACTCGAACGCGTCATGAAAACACCCGAAATCCAAACCAAACTAAAACAACACGAAGACTTATTCCGAGAAATAAGCGACGTCACTGGTAAAACAGTGACGAATTTTGACGACGTCCAAGATGTCTACAGCACCCTCAGAGCTGAAGTGAGTATTAAATGTCATTAACGACGTTACTAAGATTGTTTTATGCAGGAAGGCTACGATTTAGTACTGCCTGAGTTCATCAAACCGTACTACCCCGAAAAGATGGTTCCGCCTACTATTTTCAGCTTCGTATTGAACGCTTACAGCGACAAACTTAAGCGGCTTAAGGGTGGAGTTTTGCTCAAGAAGCTCATCTCTGATTGGAGGAGCAAAGCCGACGGGACGATTAAGCCGCCTCAACGCAAAGCGTTCTTGTACGGGGGCCACGACTCCACTATAGTTAATATTTTACGGACACTCGACGTGTGGGACCCGCAGTTGCCCGACTATGGAATAACGATTTTACTGGAGTTTTCTACAGATAAAGCCACTAATACACACGGCTTGGAAATTTTTCTGCGCAACTCCACCACTAGGGAACCTTATAGATTAACAGTACCAGGCTGTGACGAATTTTGCCCACTAGATAATTTAGTTAAATTGACCGCGAATGTTGTACCTGACGACTGGGAAGCGGAGTGTAGGTCGGATGATCCAGACTTCGTGCCGCCCCCACCGGGCGGGCCATGAACTTTTAAACAATTTTTAAGAATTTATTTTATTAAAAAAAAATAATAAATAAAATAATTATCACATTAACAACTAGTCGGCGCTAGTGTGGGTAATTGTGGGGCGAAGAGAATGTGGGCTCGGGATTTAACGAAATAAACGAGTAGGAGGGCTAGAATAAAAACCATTGATCCTACGGCTATGGTCATATTTTCGTGGGCGGCGGACGGTTTGAGGAAGACCCTCAGTTTAATGTCGCCCCAGATGGATTCAGTCCAAGTACTGTACTGGCCAGAGGACCAGTCATAACCTACACAAGTTTTATTATTTTTTTATTCTTGAGTCCGGCTCTGGCGAACTTACCGTCAATTATGAACGCTGGACTCACGGCCTCTGTGAAATTCATCGTGATACGATAGCACATGGTCGTATTAAGGTCGTCCAAACTGCGGGACATGTTGTAGTAACGTAGGGCCTGTAAAGTTTGTATCATAACGCGTGTAACATTTATAGAAAACTCGACTCTGATTGGTTCATTCAAGGTCAATTTTGACTGCGCATGTCAGAACGCGCTACTGCGATTACAACAAAAGTGAGGTTATGTCAACGCACTAAAACTAGTTGGTACTTACGTAATTCTTTGGTTCATTGGTACAGTTTCTATTACCTGGTCCTGTAACGTCCCCAGTTACCCACCCCAAAGTCAAACCAATCAAAGTAGTGATGAAATTGGGGGCCACTTCGACACCAATGTACAACGATATTGGTTGCGTATTCAACTCCTGGAACAACCCTTTCAGACAAACCCCACGTTCTCAAACCCACTCACCAATTTTTGTATTGCTTGATGAACTCGACAGTTTGCGTTCTCCAAATAACAATGAAACAACTCATCGATAAATTGTAAATCGGCTACGTCTTCAGGACCTTGGTAACTCTTAGCAGTAATTTCCAAATACAAGCTTTTAGCAAGCATCGTAGCCACTTTCTGTACATGTGTTTGAATATTGTCACTTTGAGAAATATCATCTTTGGTCAAATTCAGGTACTTGTAATGCAAATTACTGGCATTATCGTACACGGAATTATAAAACGGGTTCAAAAACGGACCCCTATGATCTGCTAGCACTAAACTAGGAAGGTTAGTTCGGTTTTTCAAAAACGTGTGTACCGACGCCGGCGGCAAACTGTCTTCAGCTTCGTCAAAACTCAAATCCCCTTTATTCGTACGCAACTTCAAAAGAAAATCTTTAAGTTTAGTTCCACTCAAGTAGTGAGCGACGACAGTCTCAGTTTTGTTGAGTTGACTCAACTCTATGAATAAGTCAATGTCGTCCATTCTAATTTCTGGTAGGAACTCCTTGGACTTGGTAGGAAAATTCCCCTTTAGCAACTCATACACGAACCTCTGCGACCCGATATAATCGTACGTTTCTCCATTAAAAACCACAAACAACACATTTTTCGTGAAATTCTCATCAGTTGGCAGAATTGTCTTCAAATACTTCGCAGTGGCTAACAACGCCACTAAACCCGTAACCGGAGAAATCGCCCCCTCGGTCTTATCAAACATGGAAGTCGCATCCATCCGTGCCGCCACCACAATGTAACCAACATCCCTAATGGGCTCCGTCAAGTTGGGTCCCCTCACCAGCGGAAACAGCGACGCCCACGCATTATTGTCGCCCAACGGGTCACAAAATTTCACAGGGTTCAAGTTCGTGATCATATTCGACCGTCGAATACACGTCGAACTGTTCGTGGCCGCATACATGAACGAAGTCAACTGCAGCGAACACAAACTCCTGTCTCTTTGCGTACTAAACGAGTGGTTGTTGTATTTGTCGAAACACTCCTTGGCAAACTTGATGGTTTCCTCGTTTTCGACGAAAAACACCGGGAATGGAATGTCTTGGTAGAGTAAACCTGTCCCGTGCGGGTTCCACACGCTGCTGGCTTTGCAAGTACCCTTGAGACTTGATTCTGGGTTGGGGCATTGCTGCTCGTGGGTGAAATAATCGGGGTTTTCGTCACCCGCGTAGAGTAGGACTCCGGATATTTTTGACGACTGTTTCAAGCGGTTGACGTTGCTCATTGTGAAGAGGTTCGTGGGGATCACGGGAACGTAAGGGGGCGCAGTGCCATTCTTGAGGATGAAGTCAAGGTCTGACTGGCTTCTACAGTAGTGGATGACGCCCGTGGAACCACCCCTTTTAGCTACAAGTGGGGTTAGAACAAGGGGGCTGCGAGACAATTTACTTACATGTGCACCCGATTTGATGAGTGGCATTCAGGCGGCGAAAACAAGCCTTCGAGGCGTCAATGTTTTCATACATTTTGTCTTTCGTTCGGATTGCATTTACTAGAAATTAAAATAAAAATTAAACATAACCTCACTTTTTTCGAAAATGTTTTTTGTTTCACATAAACGATTTAGCGGACGCAATTGGTTAATAATTCACTTGCTTACCGTTTATAGCTACGTATAGTAACACAATCGTTAACAAAAATACTGGTTTTAGAGTAAAATCCATGATTCATTGAGTTATGTTTATCTGTCACTTCATTATCGCGTTCACTGGTGCCAACCCAACGACACGAAAATGAACGAAAATCACTAGTCTTTAAACAAACTGGAAAATTTATTACTACTTGAATACACTTAGGACTATATACACAGACTAGATTACGACAGCCCCTCCTGGAACGACAGTGTTTTGCCCCCTTGAATATCCTCCTGCATGTCGGTGGCTATTTTTCGGTACTTGGCTGCAAGTTCTGGATTTTTCTCCACCCCTATTGAAAATTAATGTTTATAGACAGTTTTAAAACCGAAACTATACGAACCATCGCCTTTCGCATACATTTGGCTTAAATTAGCACAGCTGTACATATTCCCCAACTCACACCCCTTCAAAGCAAACTGAAACGCCTTTTTCATATCTGTGGCCACTAAAACCTCAGGTTTGGCGTCTTTTTCAGACTTATCCTGGTGCCTTTTGACCCCCGCAATGTACATCCCTGATAAGTAGTAACAAGCGTTGCTGTGTTCAGCCAGACATGATTTTTCCAGTAGCGACATACCCTTAAACCACTATTAGTAATTCTATTTTCACGTAATTAAATTAACATACTTTAATGGGGTTTTGCGCAATCCCCTGTTGCTCGTTTCTGGTGATTAAAAGCAAGCCCTGGTGGAAGCACGACGTGGGGTCCCCCAACTCACATCCCTTATCGAAATAACTATAAGCTGCCTTAAAGTCCGACTTCTGCGAGCCTTTGCCGAGCAGGGCGTAGGTGGCATATTTTGAACAGCTTTTGGCGTATTTATAGTCATCACAGGTGTTTTTGTACACAATGCCTGCTTTTTCGTAGTTCTTGTCTATGGATTCTAAATAATCAGCCAGGAGGTGACACACTGCGGATTAGAACGATGTTAATGCTAAACCTACAGGTAATTGATTTTGCGTTATTTTGTAAAATATCGATTTGGAAAGTGAGGTTATGTCAATACCTTCCGGTTTTTTTTCGCTGTAGCAACCAAATCGGTATTCTATGCCTAAATTTTTTATGAACTCTTTAACTTCGCCCTCGTCTTTAAAATCGTAGGCCATTTTTACGCAAAATAAATAAAATTTTGGTCACGAGAAACGAGGTGATGGTTTGAACTATTTCGGGTCAGGTGAACTACGCCTGTGAATAGTAAATCTACTCATATACATATGAACTTGAAATATTGGATACTGGGATAATGTTTAATAATGGTTGCAATATTGAAAGGGTCAGATTCATGCTTTAGTCATTCTTTTGTATTCATTTAAACCACAAGGTCACTATATTGAAAATATAAAATTGAGGTTAATTCACTTACCTTCAGGTCTTTTCTCTCGATAACACCCAATCCTGTACTTAATCCCAAGACTCTTAACAAATTCCTTTGTCTCCGGTTCATTATAATCCATAACGACACATTACAAGTAATTTTGTTAAAAAAAACCGCATGTACAAACTGACGTTAGACCTACCTTGTGACACCTACATTGGCCTACCGCATTTTTTAAGTAGAGAAATATACAAATACAGTTTATTAATACGTATTAAAAAATACAGTTATTAAAATTTCCTAACACATGCATATAATAGCGTAAAATTATAACTGTCTTCCAATAATCAACATTACTCCTAACAATTTGTTAGTTACTCTTCGTCTAATCATTAAAACAATTAACACACTTTCAGTCAAAGTAAAAAATAATTTTCAATTTGTTAATAAATAATGGAAACAACGGTTTTTTTTGTTGAAGCTATTGTAGAAAAGGCGGCCCACTCACTGGCGAATCGGGAAATCTTTGCATATATCGTTCCAACCTCAAATATTTAACAGTAACTAGATTTCCCGCGTACCTGAAAACAACCCCTTTTAATACCTCATACACACCTCAATCATTTTTTAGACAAGAATGCAATTTGGGGGGAAAGCTGAGGCTTTTCAAGCATTAGAGTGCTCAAGGTCGCACGTATAACGGGTGATTCAACTTATTTCACCAAATACATTAAAAAATCCTGTTTCTGAATCACTCGGCATATTATTTTTTAACTACCTGTAGATTTCATTCTATTCTACAGGTAGTTAAAAAATAGCTTCCTTAAGTCACCACTTGACCTTGACTTAAGTAAACGGTCATTCGAACTTACCACCACCCGTGCAGATTCCTATACGCAATGGCCGCATCACTAGGATCCGCACACTTCAAATAAACACACTTGGAATTCATATCGACAGCACAATGCAAAATCCTACACTGCTGTGCGCACTTGCTCAAAACCGCCTTCTTGATCATCATCGTGTTCCTGTCCCCTTCCTCCACCATCCCCCTTATCTTCAAGCACGGCGTCGGCGAACACGGCAGACTGTTCACCGACCCCACCTGCGTTTCAAACGCTTGGCCCTGCCAACTCTTGTTCTTGGACCTGTCAAAAATCGGTTCAAGTATGTTATTTGCATTACGCAAATTTGTCGCAAAAATGTGGTACTTACGTGCTCAAATTCGGGCCTCCCAGCCACCGCCACACCTCGGCGATCTCCCCCTGCACCACCCTCTCCTCCGTCCGAATTCTCGACTCGTTCTCGTGGATGTACCTCACGGCCCGCATCCACAGTTTTTGCTTGTTCTTGCGTTCGTTGATGGGCAGGATCATGTCCCGGACGTGGTTGATCACCATGTAGTTGTCGTCGTTGTCGGCGGCGTTGGTCTGGAGGATGTCGATGATGTTCTCGACGATTGTCATTTCTTCTTCGAGCTGCTTGTGCCGGATTTGCTTGTAGAATTTGAAGGCGTAGTTGAGGACGTAGAGGATGACGATGGCGCCGACGACGGAGGTGAGGACGCTGAAGAAGGCCCAGACGGTGTTGTAGAAGTAGCACTTCCAGGGGATGGGCGGGTGGCGGGAGATGAGGGCGGTGATTTTTTTCGCTTTACCGTTGATTACTTGGTACTGGTGACAAGAAAATGAAAATTGGTCGAAAGTACTTGGAGAGGAGTTTCTGTGTCTCTATTCTCATTCTACATATTTTACTTTCTGATGTGGCGGCACACTAATAGGTGGGTAAGCGAGAAAAGATAAGCCGCTCCGTGGTCTAGTGGTAAGGGCACCTGCCCGGCAAGCGGGTGACGTGTGGTTCGATTTTCACCGGGGCAGCAACATTTTTCTTCGCTTACCTTCACTGACATTACTAATCAACAATAAAATAGTATTGTTTCCAGAATTTCGGGAAAATTGCTTGAATTATTATCCTTCTTAAAAAAGAAAGTCGGGAGCCCCGAGAAAATTTCATATTACATATTAAAAAAGATATTTGGCGCCCCAGAGGTTTTATATTTTTAAAAAAGGCATTTGGAACAACCGAGAAGGTTTCACATAAAAAAAGACAATTGAGCCCCCCGAGAAGGTTTTACATTTTTAAAAGAGACAATTGGGGCCCCCGAGAAGGTTTCGCATAAAAAAAAGACATTTGAGGCCCCCGAGAAGGTTTTACATTTAAAAAAGACAATTGAGAGCCCCACGAAGGTTTCACATTAAAAAAAAAAAGACATTTGAGGCCCCCGAGAAGGTTTTACATTTAAAAAAGACAATTGAGACCCCCACGAAGGTTTCACATTAAAAAAAAAGACATTTGAGGCCCCCGAGAATGTTTTACGTTTTAAAAAAGACAATTGAGACCCTCGAGAAGGTTTCACATTAAAAAAAAAATACATTTAGGGCCCCAGAGGTTTTACATGTTTAAAAAAAGTATTTGGCGCCCCGGTTTTACAATTTTAAAAAAGACAATTGGGACCTTCGAGAACGTTTTACATAAAAAAAGACATTTGAGCCCCCCGAGTAGGTTTTACATTTTTAAAAAAGACAGTTGGGACCCCCGAGAAGGTTTTACATTTTTAAAAAAGACAATTGGAACCCCCGAGAAGGTTTCATATTTTTAAAAAAGACAATTGGGACCCCCGAGAAGGTTTCACATTAAAAAAAGATATTTGGCGCCCCCGAGAAGGTTTTACAATTTTAAAAAAGACAATTGGGACCCCTGAGAAGATTTCAGATTCTTAAAAAATACATTTGGGGCCCCAGAGGAGGTTTTACATTTTTAAAAAAGACAATTGAGACCCCCGAAAATGTTTCACATTAAAAAAAAATACATTTGGGGCACCAGTGGTTTAACATTTTTAAAAAAGGCATTTGGCGCCCCCGAGGGGGTTTCACATAAAAAAAAGATATTTGGCGCCCCCGAGAAGGTTTTACAATTTTAAAAAAGTCAGTTGGGACCCGCGAGAAGATTTCAGATTCTTAAAAAAGACAATTAGGACCCCCGAGAAGGTTTCACATAAAAAAAAAGATATTTGGCGCCCCCGAGAAGGTTTTACAATTTTAAAAAAGACAATTGGCACCCCTGAGAAGATTCCAGATTGTTAAAAAATACATTTGGGGCCCCAGAGGAGGTTTTACATTTTTAAAAAAGACAGTCGGCAGACCCGAGAAAATTTCATATTATTAAAAAAAGATACTTGGCGCCCCAGAGGTTTTATATTTTTAAAAAAGGCATTTGGAACAACCGAGAAGGTTTCACATAAAAAAAGACATTTGAGCCCCCGAGAAGGTTTACATTTTTAAAAAAGACAGTTGGGACCCCCGAGAAGGTTTTACATTTTTAAAAGAGACAATTGGCCCCCCGAGAAGGTTTCGCATAAAAAAAAGACATTTGAGGCCCCGAGAAGGTTTTACATTTTAAAAAAAGACAATTGAGACCCCCAAGGTTTCACATTAAAAAAAAAATACATTTGGGGCCCCAGAGGTTTTACATGTTTAAAAAAAGTATTTGGCGCCCCCGTTTTACAATTTTAAAAAAGACAATTGGGACCCCCGAGAACGTTTTACATAAAAAAAAGACATTTGAGCTCCCCGAGTAGGTTTTACATTTTTAAAAAAGACAATTGGAACCCCCGAGAAGGTTTCACATTAAAAAAAAGACATTTGAGGCCCCCGAGAAGGTTTTACATTTTAAAAAAGACAATTGAGACCCCCGAGAAGGTTTCACATTAAAAAAAAAATACATTTAGGGCCCTAGAGGTTTTGCATTTTTAAAAAAGGCATTTGGCGCCCCCGAGGGGGTTTTACAATTTTAAAAAAGACAATTGGGACCCCCGAGAAGGTTTCACATTAAAAAAAAGACATTTGAGGCCCCCGAGAAGGTTTTACATTTTAAAAAAAGACAATTGAGATCCCCGAGAATGTTACAAAAAAAAAAAATACATTTGGGGCCCCAAAAGTTTTACAATTTTAATAAAGGCATTTGGCGCCCCCGAAGAGGTTTTACAATTTTAAAAAAGACAATTAGGACCCCCGAGGTTTCACATAAAAAAAAATATTTGGCGCCCCCGAGAAGGTTTCATATTAAAAAAAAAGACATTTGAGCCCCCCGAGAAGGTTTGCATTTTTAAAAAAGACAGTTGGGACCCCCAGGTTTTACATTTTTAAAAAAGACAATTGGGGCCCCCGAGAAGGTATCACATTAAAAAAAAAGACATTTGAGGCCCCCGAGGTTTTACATTTTTAAAAAGTCAGTTGGGACCCCCGAGAAGGTTTTACATTTTTTAAAGACAGTTGAGGCCCCCGAGAAGGTTTTACATTTTAAAAAAAGACAATTGAGACCCCCGAGAAGGTTTCATACAAAAAAAATACATTTGGGGCCCTAGAGGTTTTACAATTTTAAAAAAGACAATTAGGACCCCCGAGAAGGTTTCACATAAAAAAAAGATATTTGGCGCCCCCGAGAAGGTTTTACAATTTTAAAAAAGACAGTTGGGACCCCCGAGAAGATTTTAGATTCTTAAAAAATACATTTGGGGCCCCAGACGAGGATTTACATTTTTAAAAAACACAGTTGGGACCCCCGAGGTTTCACGTTAAAAAAAAAGAAAACATTTGGCGCCGCCGAGAAGATTTTACATTTTTAAATAAAGAGGGGCGTATTCTTTCATATGAAAAGAGTAGATAAGTCGCTGTGACAGTGGTCTGCGTTTGTACTAAATTTCGTCGGGTTGTTCTTGGTCTATATTTTTGAATTTAGTGTCATTTTGTGTGTTTTTGGCCAATCATTTCAGTGGTATAAGTGACTCTTTCAACAATTCAGTTATTTTCGAGTACTTATTTGAACGAAATAGTTTATTCGGCGTGGCGTTTTTTCCTGGTGCTTGATTCGTTTTTGTGGGTGCGATACACAGAAGTGTGCGGTGTGCAGATGTACTGTGTGAGTACTCGAACTATTTTGGTAATTATACACATTACTGCAACACAATATATAAACAAATAAATAAAAACAAATTCACAGGAGAATCCCTATCAGGGGACAGATGTAGCTGATAGCATCTGCCCACCTACACATGTGAAAAACCTGAATACATTTTTATAAATCGGTTTCTTTTATCAGTAACTGATAAAACCTCGAAATGGGTATTTCAAATGCAGACCTTCTCAACGAAATTCGTAAATTACGTGAGGATCTAAATCACAAAATTGATCAGGCTGAATCTAGTATATTGTCCAACGTAAGTCAGCAGTTATTAAGGGTGGCGTCTGGTTCGGTTTCGCCCAATACTAAATACATTGAAAACATCGTCGTAGATTCCGGAATTGCATTTTTAAAATACTGAAATCTCCAACCAAGTCAGAATCTAAGTAAACCTGCATTCTGCTACCGCATCACAGCTCGTTTAATGCCGATTTCTCGTTTCAATAGATTTTGACTTTTCGCGAGTTATTTACCTCAGTCGTGGATTTTTCAATATTATAAATGGTATCAAAAAAAAGCTGACACTTTTCCCCAGGGGACCTCCTATCTCAGAATGCAAAAAACTTCAGCACTTCGTCAAAAAATGCATCAATGTGCCGGTTAAAATGTGATGTAAAAGTTGTTCAATTTTATAATTTTTTTTTGTAAAAACTGCATACTAGATATGAATATAAATATGGAGGTCCCCTGGACTGAAGTTTGTTAATTCGAAATATAATTTTTTTAAAGCGATATATTTCATATTTTTAAAATGCAACTCCGGAAACCGCGACGATGTTTTCAATGTATTTAGTATAGGGCTAAACCGAACCAGATGCCAGCCTTAAGAGAAAACGAGTACTTAAAAAATAAAATAAAATATCTAGAAAAAGCAAACAAAAAAAACAATATCATCATTCATCATCTTTGGATTGGAAGTGATAAATGAACGCTTACCGTCACCGGAACTGGCATCCTTTGTATGTAAGAAATTAGAGGAGTTTCTACACATTCAAATTGGCATTTCTGACATAAATAATGTCTACTTAATAGGAAAAAACCAAACCAAAACCCAGGTAATTATTGAATTTATCTCGCGTATGAAAAAATATGAAGTACTCCAGCTCGCAAAAATTTGAAAGGCTCGAGGATTTGCATAAATAACGATTTAACCACGGATGAAATTAAGGAATACAAAATTTTAAGAGGCCATCTTAGTTTGGCTAAACAAAAGAAACTGAATGCTTATATTAAAGGAAATAAGTTATATGTTAATGATGATATATACACTGCAAATGATTTAGAAGAAACTGAACAACCAGCAATTTTTGTAAAGTCAAAAAGTACTCCGCCAACACCGACACCAGATAGAACGGTAAATATTGATGAAGAATAATTTAAACATTGAAAACAATGTCACTAACTTTTCACCTAATATAGTTACAGTTCCCACAAGCCTGATTAAGACAGATTCAAAACAAATTCAAAAAAAGACACTACGTAGTAATTCAAATAAAGGATCAAAAATGTAGTAACAGTCAAACTTATTGGTAACGTCTTAAATTGGACTGATTCTGCTCGAATATTAGGCATTTCACTTTGATTATGATTTAAATTTTAAGTCACATATTTCTTACTTACTTAAATCGGTCTACTTAAGGTTAAAATATTATAT